AAAAAAAAAGAAAAGAAAAAGCATGTCACTGTTCACCAAGCATTTACATTGGAATCGAATGCTCAGGTCAAACCACCTTTACTTTTTTTATTTGCAAATGCAAAACTTGTCAACAATAAATAATACTATAAAATGTACACAAAAAAGATTGACAGTCCACCACGAGTTAAAACAGATTGGATGATTAGGAACGAGAAAGTCTGGAAGGGGTGGGGTGTGGGGGGGTTCTCTTCTTAGCAAAAATGTGACGGTCCATACAAGCTACAGAAAAAGCTGATCATCTATACATTGACACTAGCAAGATAACAAAGTTGTTGTTTCTGGTATATTTCATTTTGTACAAAGAAGGGAGAGTCTTCTTTACAAGCGAGCATCATTGTCTTAACTGGAGAGATTATACAAGCAAGAGTTAAGGCAACTTCTCCGTTGTTTCTGAAAAGTAACATGAAGTTGAATCATGTTTTGTTTTGCCTGTGGACCACTTGTTTTTAGCAGTTTTGGAGTTGGTTGTCATTGCATAATTAAGGCTGCTGACCAGGCCTGTAGTCCATCGCCAAAAAAGGAATGCTGGATATTTGTCACGAGTCGGGTTGCCATCACAAAGACTGACTCGGTGGTCCAGGTTTTCCCCATGAGAGTCAGGCTTTCGCATGTTCGGTGTCTGTCTCAGGCACAGATAGTGTACCGCTTGTGACGCCAACACAGCGTGGTGCAGATTAGAAACAGACACAATTGGGCATGTTGCTGTAGTCTCTGTATGTAAGCGTCTCTATGTAAGCAGGAGTGAAAACAGACATAACAACAGATTGCAGTAAGTTCCTCATCAAATCAAGCCCTCTCAACATTTTAAATCAGTATGAAAGTACTGGTTAAGATATCTGGGATTTTCGATCCTGGGAATAAATTTGTTAAATTTTCCTGAAGGCGCCACAAGAAAGGTCAGGGAAAGGTCAATAAAACAAACAGAGTTATTCTCTGGGGAAGAAATTAAATCAGTTTCAATTTATATTCTTCTGATGTAAACTGTATTTTTTTTGGGAAAGTATTACAGAAAGAAGTAGCTCTACTTAAAGGAATAATTCCCCCTAAAATCACATTTGCATATCTTCCCTGTGGCCTGCCATGCTTTCACTCCATTCCTATCTTGTGTATTGGCTGTAAAGATTTTTGCCTTCTCGTCTCTTCGGTATAATGGAACTAAACGTCTCTTAAATATTTGTGTGCAACAGGTTAGGGTTAGGATTTGAAAAACTCGGCAGAGCAGGGCCCACTTAATTCAGAAACCTTTAATGTACTATTTTCCAAATAATGTCTGCTCTTGTCATGGGAAAATGAAAGGTTCCTTCTGCACAGTCACGGGTGTAGTTCTGTAGGAAGAGTAAATGGATCAGGATTTTGGAAATGGGCATTACTGTTGAGTTTTTCAAATCTTTATCACTTTAAACACACATGCAAATGTCACTCACAGACTGTATATTTAAGATGGACTAAGCCACCGTGCCGTCACCCACTGACCATTTTTAAAACTCTACATTTGTGCTTGGGCTGTTTGGGCCATTTGCGCAACATTGGTTTCCATGCTGGAGCCATAAGTGACTATATCTGGATGAAAGGGTGCTAACACTTGTGAGTTTGGTTAGCAAGCACCACACATACATGCCTGCTAATGAGTTTTAATAACAGACTAATAAAATATTATAATTCATTCACCAAAATTAAAGCACAAACCTCTCGAGTGGGCTGATAGATGGCATATTAATTGTCTGAAAATATAATACATAACACCTAAACCAAGTGTTGTTCTTATGAAAGGGGAAACTCTCCAAAAACTGTTTTTGTGCCAGGCTGTAAAACATGTTTTATGCTTTTTTTAATGTATTTTGACAAAGGAAGCTAATTGAACTTCTTTGTTTTTGGAAAAAGCCTCAAGTGGCCAATCCAGGAATTGCATTCCTTCATATTTCCTGCAGCTCAATGTGATTTAATTCCATTATATCACTATATTCAAAACTACAGCAGCTCACACCAAAAATAACAGCACTAGATGCGTACTTTAGTCTGTCTCTTTAAGTGCAATACAGCAAAAGGCAGACAAGAGCTTCATAAGACCATCTTGACTGGCTCTGCTTGCAGAGAATTGAAGCAGAGACAAGGAAAAGCTTAAAGTGACACCAAAGCTGGGCCTTGGCAAGAGGCGAGCTAAGCCTAAATGCCTGACTAAGAGGCGACAGATAGAGTTGCACACTGCTTATTCTGAGTCAACACTCTGTAATCTCAGCTGGGCTCTCTGCTTGCACCTGCCCCACACACACAAACACAAAGTTAAATTTACTATGTGCATTGTGCCACATGAGTATGTATGCTTGTGAATACGGGTGTGAGGAAAAGCTCGGTCTGGTCTTTACAGTGTAGAAAACAATTTTTTTACTTTTATACTAATAATTTAAAGAAAATCAGGGTGCAAGACAAACGATAATTGAAGATCACTTTGTCATTTTAAGACAGATTCTATCTCACGCTCACTGTGACATATCACAGGTCTAAACCCAAAAGAGTATAATAGTAATGATGCTTTTGACATCCACTTCTCTTCTCTTGGGTCTTCTTTTCTTTTCTTTTCTTCAAAATAAGTGCTTGTTATTTTGGCAGCTATAAATTATCCAGTCCAATCTTCAGTTTAAAATCCCATTTCCACTAAAAACTAGGTGACATGTTTTGTTTCAACACACCAGAGGCCTTTGGCATGTGATAATACCTTGTCTCACACTGGTACAGTGCACCTCCTCCATAGGAGTGTAAACTAAATGCTGGCTTTGTCTAATGGCGTCCCAGCTCACAGCCGATGTGTAACTGGATCAGATCAAACTGGATGGGTGATAGTTGTGTTGCATTTACTCAAACTTCCCGGTAGGATCTACAAATGCTGAAAATACTTCCTTAAAACAAAAAAGAATTGGCAAAAAAAGAACCAACTTGGCAGAGTTAGTGGACAAAATATTGCCATAAAGAATTTGTCCTCTGTGTGTTTACTGTTCAAATGTTTCTGTTGTGTTACTTCAGCAGTTTTCCCTTCAGTCCCACAAGAATAATTTATGAAAGAGCTGGCTTCCCCCTGCACCCCCCCTCAAAATTCAGTGCAGTCAGTCTCAAACTAACCCATGACAGAAACATCACTGGTAATGTATTATAGAAAAGATTAAGTACTAGCCTGCGGAAGCGAGTACCCACTGCAGGCTGGAGAATGCTTCCACATTGCCATGCCATCTCAGTTCTTTTGGTGGTGCAAGTAAGCCTTGAAATGCTCTCTGTTATTACTGTTACTAGCAAAGATTACTGTTTAAGCACACGGGCAGCATTCCAGAGGGTAGAGAAAATGTCAATAATAGGAATGACTATCACGACAGCTCCATCTTATCCTTGTGTAACACTAAAACTGAATTCAGTGGAGAGCAAACAGACAGACGCCAACGGAAAATGGCAGAGATCGCACGATTCCACCCACACGCTTACTTGCTGGTGAAGGTTATCTCCAGAATATTTCTCAACATATGTGAAGGTGGTTTTATGCCCCCATCCATTAAAAAAAAAAAAAAGATTTCCCAGATTTCTTAATCCCATTGGATTCACCCAGAACTTGGTGACAAGGTTGGCAAGGACATTTTTGCTGGTTGTGAACAAGCACGTGTATTAACACACAGATACCAAATCTGGGCTTGAGAGATGCATCTCTGCAGCCACCGTCACGCTCGGGGGAGCTCACTATGTGTTCTTAGCCATTCCTGTGTAACGTGAAAACTTTTGTGCTGCTTTGTGCTACTCTCTTTTAAACTGACTTACAGTGTGCATGGATTGTCATTACAGAAGCATTCAGAGCTGCATCAGAATGACTTTTTGTGTGTGTGCCTTCCCAAAAGATAAAAGGCATTCACGAACAGCAGCACTTGAGCCAAATGACTCGTCTCCAGCTCATATTTCAAGGTGACAGTAAACTCTTGAAAATGATATAATCCCATCAGTTTTTACATTTCACAGTCAGAACATCACAGAAAAGCAGCTGCAGATTTGTAATCTTAATATCTGATATTTTGGAACTATCAACAGAAAATCTGGGGAAATGACAAATCAAATAGCTCGAAAATCAGTTTGAAATTTCATTAAATCATCCTGCTATTTAATTGTGTATCTACTGCTTCTATAGACATACGTGCATTAAAAAGTCTGGCTCCTCCTCAGCAATATGGCGCCTGCTTTGACTCATCATTTCATGAACTGAAGCAACCGGTGTGGCATCTATGTGCAAACATTTCTGGTGAACAAGCAAATGCCAAGATGATTTTTTTTTAATGCCTCTACAGCTCAGTGACAAGTGATTAAAAATAAGACTTACAGGAGCAGAGATTTTATATCTGTGGTGTGGCACAAAGTTGGACTGAAGCGTTTCAGTTTTAGGGGCTCCTTCAGTAATTTTCAAGCAGCAGATTTGAATATCGGACACTACAGTGCGTTCCATAGTAAAAAGACAATACAGAGAGTACTTGTTCGATAGGGGAGGGTGGGTTGAAGTCTAAAGGGGCAGTGTGGCTGAGAGTCTCTAAATGAGGAGAGGAGCAGTGGGGTAAATTCCTCCTGTTGCAGGAATATACTGTCTTCAGTTCAGGGATCAAACGGTCCTGGTGGCCATCAGAGTGTCTGTCGCACAGACAACAGTAGTCCACTTGGCTATGATACACATCATCATGTTTGTTTGGACTCATCGGTCATCAAAGGCGATTTGTGGTGCTGGTAGACTGGACGATGGGTAAGGATGAGGACAGTGTGTGTGTGTGTGTGTGTGTGTGTGTGTGATTTGGAGGTGGGGGGTGGACAAGTGAGTGTCGTTGATGGCACTGCGGTCCTCAGAGCATCCATCTGTGAAGCAGAGTGGGAGGAGAATTAGACGGAGTCAGAGCTGTTTTCGGGCAAAGCTGATGCATGAATTCAAGGTATTTTAATTTGAAGGTAAGTGGGAGAGTGGAGGATGTTCAGAGCAAAGACAGTTTTGGTGTTAAAACCACTGAGGGCCAAATGAAGGAACATGCAGATTTTTAACAGCACTTCCTAATTTGTGGTTTATTCTCCCAGCAATCAGAATCAGCTTGAGGACACTTTTGGGCAAATAAAGAATAAAACATTCAGCTTCTGCTTCTCTATTGGAATAAATTTTACATAATGTGTTAGATATTTCATAATGAATGCCTTGTGATGTTGCAGGCAAGGTGAGATATGGTATTCCACATTTTGCACACTATGGAGGACCAAAACCTCCTAGATAAATAATAAATATATATAAAAAATAAATACATGACTTTATTAAAAATAATATGCAGTTAGGTGCACTAAAATAATATAAAAAAAACTATTGTAGGCATAAATTAATTTGAGAAATATATAAATTAATATTTATAATTTAATTAGCTTCTATTTTTTATTTGCTGAAATTTCTCTGTTTCTCTGTTACGGAGTCATTTATTTAGGTTGGGAGAAACAAGAGGAGAAGAAATTCTAAGGGAAAATAATGCAGAAATAAATATGGAACTTTAAAAATAAATGAAATTAAATCCCCCCAAAAAAGAATCAATAAATTAAATGGACAAAACAATTAAAATCAAATTAATATAAATAATAAACCAAATGGGAAAATAAATATTGAGTAAAATAAATAGATTTTGTGGTACTTTGTTATTCTTTTTAAAAACAAAAAAGCAGTATTAAAATAAATGTAGGCATAACGGATTTACCTGATTGCATTTTTTCATCTTTTTTTTGTTGGTTATTATTTTGCGCAACCATTTACCAGAAAGCAAGCGAGGGAGGCACTGTTGGTCCTCCATATTTTTGCTATTGTATCAGTACTTGCAGATTGCAGTGCATCACTTCTGTTTATTTCAGCTGCTGGTTGGCGTTTAGCAGCGCTGAGTGTGCAGGGGGCTTGATTTCCATCTTTTGTCGTTACCAATTAATCTTATTCAGAGCACTCGCCTCATGTTACCATAACCTGAATTGGTCTTCAATTGCTCTTGAATACAATTTCATTTAATTAATAACTCGAGGATTGCATCATTAAATTTGGCATTAATGGCATAAAAGGCTCCTCATTCAAACTCCGAAGCTCCTATACTGCCAGTCACAGTAAAGCAAAGCCGAGTATTCCTCTTGTAAAATGACATCGAGGCGCAAGCTCATGTGGAAATGTGTGTTCGGTAAATGAGTTTTGGCTAATCACATGACTCCAAATGCTCCTAACATCTAGGATAAATGTATTCTTCGTATGTATTCGTCTTAAGGTTTTATTTCAGAATGGTTTGGCTGTATATTAAGAGGACAAGGCCCTCCTTGTGCATAGCCTGCTTGTATTAACACCACCTTGTAGGTGTGCTGGTTCATTTCATCTTTTCACAAATGGGCTTTGTGTCAGGTTCCCTCCTGCTTCACTCACCCTTTTAGAGTCTTTTCAGTGCCAGTCCCTGCGAGTGCCCCTCCGGGTGACAATCTCATACATCACCTGCAGTCCGTCTGTCACAGTGGATTTAATGCCAGGGAACCTGCACGCTGGCATTATTTTGGAGGTAATAATTCAACTAATGCTTGTTTGACCCCTTCCACTGTGACTGCACGAGGGCACACCGAGTCTGCCCTTGAATCAAGCATCACATTGTTGAAATTCTGATTAAGTGATCAACCCTATTATGTCTTTTCGAAATGACAAAATACAAAATAATCCGGTTGCCAGAGATTTCCAGATGTGAAGATTATAAATATGAAACAGCTGGTTAAAGAACATTTTCAACTGAAGGGAGTTATTTTGAATAGTTTAAAGACGCACCCTGGGGAGTAAGAGACTTTTAAAACCAACTCTTAATTTGAAAAACCCCCGACTGTGAATTATGAAATGTCACTGACTAAATCTGTTTGAATTTATATTTCAAGTCGGTTGTGGGAAAACACTCACCTCATTTGTTTTGATTGCGAATTCGCAGACACCTCCTCTTCAGCGGCGGCTCGAGCTCAGGACTCCCAGCGGCTGATAGCGGTGCGCTGATGGAGCAGGAGAGGATGGCTGTCTTGTCGGCGGCGGGCTTTGGCACAGGCTGTATGACAACACAGCCTCCGGTCGACAGCAGCGGTAGGGCGTAGGCATGCTCACCCTCCTCCAAGTTGGAGTCAGGATCTGGCTTACCCTCCACCGTGTTACCCATCTCATCTTGTGCTGAGACCCGCTTCCCTGGCTCCCATTCACCTACGGAACAATTGTTCTCTTTCAGCGCCTCACGCTCTAGCTCACCGTTAGCTGGGTGCTTCTCTGCCTCTCCTTCTCCTGCCTCTCCCCTTCGGTCAGATTCGAACGCAGGCGTGAGAAGTGGATGCCATCCTGTACCATTGACTATCACATTACATGGGGCAGCAGGGCTAGTCTGGTGCTGGGGTAAAGATGGGGGCTGGGTCCGTACTGTACTTGGTGAGGGTGGTGTTGTACGGTTAGAATAGTGGGGACTCTTCTGGCTCACTGAAGCTTTGCTGGGAGCACTGGAAGGTAGGGCTGATGATTCCAGTGTGTTAGGGTGTGTGGCCCCTTCTGGCTCCGCAGCACTGAGGAGTTCCTGTGAGAGCAGAGCCCCTTCCCCTTCATCACGATGGCTCTTCCCTTCCCTCCCCAGCTCAGCAGCTGGTGGAGATCTTGAATCTGCCTCTGGCTCTACTTTGACCTGGACACCAGGTAGAATCCTGTGAATTACCTGCTGCTGGCATGATCTTTGGCCCACTGTTAGATCAATAACCCCATCCATCAATGCAGGGCCACTGCTGAGACAAAGGTTGCCTGAGTTGTCCTCTGCCTTCACAGTCAATTCCACTGTCCTGCCTCTCTCTGACCGCACAGGAGAGACACGCCCTCCAGCTGGCTCTATCTTCTGGCTCCCTCTATCACCTCCAGAGGAGCCTGGAGAGTGGGGCCTAGAAGCTGAAGCTTCTGAGGACTCTGGAGCACTTCGGACAGAACCAGTACTCTCAGGTCGGTCCCTGGAGGATTTGGGGTTGAAGGGGATAGGGATTGGAATAGGAATTGGGACTGGGAGGGGTACAATGACAGGGTAAGGGACCAAGAGAGTTGGGGGAGGTACCAATGGAGCCAAGGACGGCATGCCAAAGTTCATCATTGGGGGCAGGGGGATGTGTCCATTGGGCATCATGTTGACTGGGGGGAAAGGCGGTAGGCCCGGCATGGGGATTCCAGGGTGTGGGGGAATCATGCCAGGGTTGGGATTGGATGAAGGGTGGACATGTGGAGATAGCAGAGGCCTGTGCATGGGGCTTGATGCAGGACCAAGGGTCCTAGGAGGTGGTGGTGGACCAATACCAGGAATGATTGGGTTTGACAGCGGGCTGTTGGGTCCTCCTGGGTGGGCAGAGGTGCGAAGAAATGGGGGGCGGATGTGCTGCATCATTTGATGCTCCATGAACAGAGGCAGGGGCATGGGTCCCCGGGGTGTCATCACCATGGGAGGGCTGCCAGAGGGGACCCCGACTGGTGGGTGAAGAGCAGGAACAGGTGGTGGGGGAAGTGAGGGGCTCTCATGGGGTCTGGGTGTGGGGATTTTGACTGAAGAAGAGGAGGATGGGGAGCAGACAGCTGCAGTGTCTGAGGGTGAGGCAGCAGAAGATGTGGAAGGGGCCAAACCTGAGGTGGCGGAAGGCCCTCCAGGTGAGGGAGCTTTACGTCGAAGGTCCGTTAGCGGCGTTCCCCAGGATTCAGGAGTGAGCAGCTGCACTCCTGAACTGCACTCCAGCTTACCCTCCCCTCCAGCTCCGTGTCCTGGGTTACACAGTGCTCCAGGAAGGGCAGCCTGGGTCTCTTTATAGAAAATGTCCATCTTATATTGGTTCAGGCATTTGGCACTGCAGAACTGCAGCCTCCGCTCACCAGCACCAAAGTCCAGGTACTCCTTAGTATGGCGAATATGTTTGCACCAGTCACACACCTGCAAAAAGAGACACACATATATAAGCACCTGTCAGCCTGCATACGAAGGACTCCTGATCTGTTTTTGATGATCGACTACAAAATATTCTCTGAAAAATGTGGGGAAGACGCTTTGTCTCCACACCATCTGTAGAGAAGCCCATTAGAGAAAGATTATTTTTAAGGAAGCTGATGTTGATTGTAAATACTTTTACAGATCTGCTGAAAAAAAAGGAAACATTTAACATTGAAGTTCTGCTTTCAACATATTTATGTGTTCTATCTTATGCTTGCATAATGGCATTCAGCTGCTGAAGTGACTTTGCCTTTAACCTTCTGTCTTAACAAGAAATGCCCATTTACACCTTCTGTTGGCTATAAAGACCAGCGCCTCAAGCACAACACAAAAGGACGATTTCCCTCACACTGGTATTGAATTGTGGGTCAACAAGTCAAATCAGGTTAAACGGTAGAAGGACCACTGTATATTGGTGTAATGGGTAAATGGGTGAATAACAGAATTTTGTGCTGTTCTTTGGGTGGTGAAATGCTTTACTTTAAATATATTTATAGGTTGCAGGTGATGGCTGGAGCTTGGTGCAAAACTTTCACGTTTTCTAACATTGTTTTTCTCAGTCGAGCTCTGAGGTTTTTGGCTAAAAGCCACAGTTGTTTGCTGAAAACTATTTATTTAAAGTGGCTGCAATATTAGTAAGATTGCAGTTAAAATCAGTTAATCAAGTAAAGCCGGCTACATGTGAAAATTGTGTATTTCTTTTGTGACCCATGCATTCATATGCATTTTTTATATTTATATACTGCATAACTTTGCATCCTCCTCTCTCCCTGTACCCTTCTGCTGCACCTCCAGAGCTGCATGTAACTGATCTGTGATTTCTGCCACCGGTTCCTGTCAGGTGTTTTATGTTGTATTGTTTGTTTCCCCTCTTTGTTCTTTTCTCTTGACTCCTTTCTTACTCAGACAAAGCAGCATCACCTGCCTAACCTCCCTGAAAATGGCTCTACTTGAGATTTCTACCTATTAAAGCAGAGCTGATGTAACATGGCAGCATGGCTATAAAGGGGTTAATAGTTCCTTGATATAGTAGGTGGATTGGTTGCATAAAGCCTTGTAAGACAACAGTAACATTTTACATCCAAAAAAATGGACTCGACTTCAGAGATTGCTTCTGTATGCAGAATGCAAACCTGGGCTGGATCCAAACATGTGGAGGCTCAATTGAAAAGTTGTCTTTCTTAGTCACCGCAATGGCAAAGATCCCAAAACGCACTGCTGCACTGTTTCATCAACGTTATACACCTTTTTTAGTGCAAAACGTGCAGATTTTTGGAGGGGAGGAAAATGAATGTGACCCTGGTAGAGCAGATAGCAGTGGGCGAGCCCTGAACACGGAGTTACTCGTCAGGCCACACACAGCTCACTCTGTCAGCTCTGGGAGGAGTGGCAGGTCCTCGCTGGAGATAATTAAGGCATTAATCAGTTGTCAGACCCTTCAACGACATCCATCCATCACACAGACCCTTAAGCCCCCCTGCTGAATGTTAATAAGTCGAGGGATGCAACCGGAAGGTGGATAAACTCCTTTTGCAAGCTGCATAGCAACATTGGATTATTTGGCAGGAAAGTGTCTGGCAGCAGCTGAAAGACAGTGGACTCACATGGGCTTTTGGGCAGATGCACTGCAGCACTGGCCAGGATTTCAAAAAGAAAACACAGTGTGCTGTCCTTCAACTGCAACATGTGTAAAACATCAGGTTGCTTGCCTCGATTATGTGCTTTACATCACAGGTGAACTGGTTGAAGCAGAGGCATTCACGAAAAGGGCAAAGGTCTGCATTTGACAGTCATTAGAGAGTGTCACTCTAACTTAAAAACTGAACCGAGTTTGAGAGAAGCAGCCGGAGAGCAGCAAAAACAGATCAGAGACTGAACTACACGGCGCTGGAAGCGCTCGGATGTCAGTCCCTTGAATTCTACATGCTTTAACTGCCCATTTAGTCCTCACTAATTCAATGAGCCATGACTGAGTAAAAGTCAAAAAGGTGCTCTCACAAGTTGAGTTTGATAATGGTATGCCCAGGATATTTTAAATAATAAATGTGCTGAAAATTTCCTCGACTCAGAAAGACAGATGGAGAGCACTTAACGACTTTCTGCACCGTGAGTGAAATTTCACTGCGCATTACGCTAATGGAGTTGTGCTTTCTCTTTCTCGCTCTCTCCCGGCTCCTGCACACAGATGTTTGCAGTTGAATGTAATTATGGTCATTTATTTCCATCGTGGCCAACGAACCAGCATCGGCGGTGTAGTTTAACCGTTTGCATTACAACGATTATCCGGCTTCTAAACAAGCACCCCAGTGGTCGACATGTTCTCCCTCCTCTGACTCTCTGACCCAATCCCGAGTCTAGGGAATTTTAGGAATTTTAGGAATTCCCACATTAGTCAGCGACATGTTTTAGTGCATAAGAAAAAAAATGAACATATAAGGTGAGGTGATTTGTGAGGGGATTTGAGACATTCTCAGAGGTTAGAGCAATAAATAAACAGCATTTAGTTTGCTGCATTCAAAGAGAATGACCCAATAGAAAAGGTTAATTCTGTGGAGGACAAAAACTGCCGAAATATTAAAAATATAGAAATATATTGCAATTATGCAATGCACCAAAATATTAGAAATAAATGTAGAAATCCACAAATTTATAAACTGTGACATATTTATAATTGAATTATCATCTTTAACGTAAGAATCCTCATATTTACTTGCTTCCTCATTTAGTTTACCATGTCATTTATTGACTTATTTACTTATTAATCTCTATTAACATTTACTCTTTAACATTTTTCTATTGCTGTATATGTTTCGGTTTTGTTTTGACTTTGTTTTCCTTTCATCAAACAGAAATATGTATAAAATTTAAAACGAAAGGAATAAATACAAAGAAAAACACATACAGAGGCAAATTAAATAAAAAATATCCACTTATGTCACATTTTTTAAAGATAATTTGTGAAATTCTTCATTTTGTCAGGCCTTTAAAAAAATTATTATTGATTTTGGCAGTTTGGATTCTCCATATAAGGCAGGGGCTTAGATATCTAAGGATACGTAGGATTTAGGAGATGAAGAGGAAGGCGAAGGAGGAGGTGGCAGCGGGTTAAGAGGCTGGAGAGTTTCAGACGGTGCAGAGATTGTAAGGTTTCATAAGAGGTTGTGGTGCCTGAAGTGGTTTTATATGTATGATGAAGAGGTTCGCTGAAAATGAGGAGGGATAAGCAAGAAAAGTGCATCAAGGGACAGGCTTGGGTATCCCGCCCTGTTAAGGTCGATATGCGATTCTTTTGACACTTCTCACATTGCTTCCACAATCACAAAGTGCAAAACACAAAGATTAAACACATGAAAATGAACCAGGTGCTTGAAGCAAGGCTTGGTTTTTTTGTTATTTTACACTCCAAACAATCTGCAGCAAAGTATCCACCCGTGACGGCTCGGGTTCATCAGAGATTCTGAGAAGAGGCGGACAGAAACACTGAGCTGGCTGTACTGTGGATTTAGTCCAAAAACTAGATCATGTTGCAACAGACTGCCATCTTAAAGCACCTGGTCCACTGGAAGAAGAAAACAGTGTAAAGCTTACACTGATGTTTACACAAGAAAATTAAACTTTGGCAAGGCTTTAAAGACCATCTGCAACATGTGGACTTATTACTATGATTAACCAAACTATCAGTTTCCAGTTGCCTCATTCATTGTTGCAATGGTTATAATTACTTGGCTTACAAAAGAGGAAACATATCTGGTACAGATCCTCTCCCAGTGTTTTATACTGACTACACAGTGTACCTGACTTCTCCATCAAAACCTGAATGGATGAAAAGTTTTAAACTGCAGCTAAAAGCCAAGACGCAGGAGAGCCACACTCACTGTGAGGTGGCTCTTTTCACAGCCAGCCATCCCATCAGTCATTATAGATGTGACATACAAAGGCCATTCTCACTTGGCCAGGTGAAGCTCAATTGTGCTATATTTCACAGCGCACGCTCACGCACGCACGGCGAGTAAAATAACTTCAGCTGCAAGAGAGACGAGGCAGACCTGGCGGATTGTGTTTGAATGTCAATGCAGCAGACGGGAGATCTATGAGATGAGATATCTACTCTGTGCTTTTCCATAGAAAGCACAGTTATATGCTTCTTTTTTTTTTTTTTTTTTTTTTGCAGGGTTTGGGAAAAATCAATACTGCTGTGATATCTGTGCGATGAATTTGAGGCTAGAGCCTGCACATAGCAAACTGAGACAACAAACTGGAGAAAAAACAGTTCACTAGAGTCTCTTCAGGGGAAAGGTTTAACTTTGAGGCGTTTACCGACAGGAGATACATTTCCACACCCTTAAATCCATAAATTCCTTTGGATCTGGACAAGCACAGATTCATTCATCTCCTTTTTTGTCAAACATGTCTTCAAAGTCCTTCCCTTGTCAGCTATAGACAGTGAGATCCAAGTAAGCGACATGGTGAGTGCGTGAATGCCTCTCAGTCATGAGAAAATTACACACTTATACACCAGTCATATAGCCACTGAATGCCAATCAGAGGAAGTATTTAAGGTGACCCTGCATATATCTCAAAATCTAACAGCTAAACACTCAACATCTTCCTAATCTGAAGAACTGGCTTCAGACTGCTTCTCAGTGAGGAGAAGTTACTTTTATTTTGCTTGTTACCTCGATTTTCAAGCCTAACTAACAAGCTACTCAGGATAGCTTCTTCGTTAGGTAAGCGAGGGTAAGTAGTGCTGATCAGCCTATCAAAAAGCCAATTTCAGAGGTAGTTTGTATAATGTGTCACGTCTGAAGTCAGAAGTTCTTATGGTTGTTTTGAATGACTGAGGGGTGGAGGGAACAGCCAGCTTTCACAGAGAGGGAGAGCGGAGATGCAGTAATATTTAATATTGCATTTTCCAGACAGTCTGTCAGACAGCATTGTATCTG